TTGCTTGTCTAAACCAGCTAGTACATCCCCTCCTGCTGCGGTGTGTGGAGTTGCCACGCGGTGAACACGTGAGGTTTGTGATTTCCCTGCCACCCACGGTTGCTGTATGAATGGGAGCTGACTAAAACATTCCCTGTGTGAGTGTGTTTTGGTCGGTTTGTTTGTTTTACGGGATTCTGTAAGATGCTGAGTATCCCCGGCTTGGCAGGCTCTGCTTCATGCAGTCAGGCCAGTTGGGAGGGTCAGGGTGGTCCAGAACCCTCACACAAACCCATCATCCCATCTTCCTCCCTCTCTCCGCAGCTGGCAGCCCATCATGAAGTTCATCAATGACCAGTACGAGAAGTACCTGCAGGAGGAAATCAACATTAACCGGAAGAAGCGGATTCCCGACACGCGAGTGCACTGCTGTATATACTTCATCCCAGCCACCGGCCACTCGTACGTAGCCTGCCGCCCTCGCTCCGAGCCTCGGGGCTTCCCTCTCCCGCGTTCGGTCTCGGGCAACTCAGCTGTCAGGGTAGTCCTTGGGATCCCCCTGTGTCTCCTGGGGACTCGAGGAGCGTGAGGACAGCGTGAAGCTGTCCCTCCTAGGGCGGTAGCATCTGGAGCCCTCACAATAACACAGCAGAGCCGCTCTACCCCAGAGAAACGTGGCGTTTCCTCTTTCGAGGGGCTGTCAAAGCCTCCCTGAGGTCCAGCTAGTGGCTTGCTTTGCTTTGGTCACCTTGCTTGCACGACCGAGGACGGACACCAGTCGCTGAGTTCTCAAATTGGATGGAAAGGCTGCCTTTGCAAACAGAACATGAATTTTTTTTCTGTGCCCCTGCCTTTGTAAGGGGTTTCCTTGCGTTGCCAAGGGAGCGAACACCCTCACCCTTTAAGGACATTTTGTAGGTTGTTTGACTAGTCTGCAAGTGGGATGCAGTTTGTTCAGCACAGGGCTCTCCTGGTTCTGGCACTTCTCAAGCAACAGCACCAAAGGCCCAGATCTCGCTCTGGTTTTGGGTTGGTGGGTTTTGTTTTTTTGGTTTTTTTTTATCTAGGCACGGAGCCCGTAGTGAAAATCTGGGGCACTTAAAGTGTCTTGAAAAACGTGACTTAAAGTGTCACAACATAAAGCAAGACCTAAATTTCCTTTTGATTTGTGTCAATTCCTTCCACTTCTGGCTCTGTCTGAGTGGGGATTTTTTTGGGTCTGTTTTCAAAAGTAAACTTAAGCCGCCAGCACTGTATTACTGTCAGCCTTTTCCTCTTCCCCATGTAGAGATTTATTCCAACAGAAAAGACTTTGTTTTGCTTCTGTCAGTGGGTAGACCAAAAATGCATCCTTCACTGGAATAAAATGACTGCATGGGCCAGTTATGCTCTTCTTGTGTAACTGGCTGTCGACTGGGAACAGAGGGGCCGACAAAACGTTTATGCTTTAATACGATAAAGCAGAAAATGTTTCAAAGGGAGATGACATTTCTGGGCCAGTCTAGCGTGTTGGTCCCGCTTATCTCAGCCCTGATCTGCAGACCCTGCCTCGGCAGGTCGGAGTGTTGCAGCATTAGCTGTGCTCGAGCTTTTTCTCATCGCTTTGGCTGTTTAACTCTGAAAAGCACGTCTGATTCGCAGACCCTGCAGATGCCTGACCTGCACACAGCTTGCAAGTTTTGGATGGTGGCAGCTGCCCTTCCTGGGCCGTGCAGGCAGTGGCGTGGAGCCCCGTCCCCACGTCCCCCCCGGAGCCTCTCCAGCCGCGCGCTCTGGTTTCTCTCACCCGCCGGCTAACAGCAATTGTGTGGATATTCAGCTGCTTTTTTTCTTTCTCTCCAACAAACATGTGTTTCCAATATCCGAGGAAGCCCGGCGGTTGGAGGCCGCTGTTGCTGAGCCCTGCGCTGATCCTCCTTCCCTGTAGCCTGATAGCCCGGCTGGGGCCAGTGCTCGCTCCCAGGCCACGGCCTGGGGACTGCGCTCTCCTTCCCCCCGTGTCAGAGCCGGCCTCTGACTCGCGCGTTCCCTCCTGCCGCGGGACGGAGATAAGCCAAGGAATGAGTGAAGGGGGACAGACCCCACCGGGAGGGAGAAGTCGGTGGGAAATTTTGCTCGTCTGAGAGCTCGAGCAGGGGTTGGGTTTCCTTTCTGCTCCCTTGTGAAGCCCAAGTTACCTTTCTCATCATCACGGACGGGCTGCCCGTGGGTCTGTGGACACGAACGGATGGCGTGGCCCCCTCTTCTGCTGGGTGGAGCTGCTGCGGCAGCACTGCTGGCGGAGGATCACGCTCATTCTGGAGGACAGCGGTTTGGGAGGCCGTGCCATGGGGTTGTCGCAGAAGACTGAGTGCAGGTTTGTGCCCCCGCTGAGGCAGGTGGTCCGCGGTCCCTTGCAGAAGGGTATGGCAAGGGTATCGAGGCCCTTGCTGCGGGGCCTCTGGCTTCTCCAGAGGTGATGGGGAGCACGGGCAGTGGCTCGTAGTGCTTCAGGGACCTGCACCAGGGACATCCTCACCCAACTGTGGAGGACCCCACCATGCCCATGTGGCACCATCCGTGTGCTCCCCATTGCCCACGCCCCTTGCCATCCCGGGATGCTTGGTGCCGTCCATCCTGGGGTAGTGCTTGCACGGAGCTTGTTTCCATTGCCTTCGGGGAGCTGCTGCCTTCACCATGTGACGCAGCCAAAGCATGGACTGGTGTCCGTCCGTCCTCCCTGCTCGGGCATGGCACAGGACTCGGCATCTCTTCCTGGCACGTGGAGGCTGCAGGCAGCCAGGGCTAAGCCCGCCAGGTCACTGGGCGAGAGCTTGCTTTTATCTTAAGTAAAAAGGAGAGAGGGGGGTTAAAAAAAAAAGGCAAGGTTAACCAGGTGCCCAGATTCAGAGGCTGGAGCGGAGGACTGCTCGGCTCCCTTTCAGTCTGGCCCTCCCATCCGGGCAGCTCAGGGGTTAATCAGCGGAGAAGTTTCCGCTGCTGTCTCCCTTTGCAAGGAGTTCGGGGCTTTGCAACCCATCCGGTTCACACACACCCTGTCCTTCTTGTAACACTCCCGTAAAACCATGTTTGCGAAGGCTAAGTAACGTGCTGGCAGGGGCTCTGGGCCGCAGCCGTGCAAGCCCGGCTCTTTGCCACCCAATAAATATCTCAGCTCTGACCCCTGTGAAGCACCGCTCGGCTCTGAGACGGGGCTCTGAAACACCGCCCGGCCTCGGCAGCCCCTTTTCTGCCTGTTCCAGAGCCGTGGGCTGACGCACTGTCACCCACTGCCGCTTTCCCCGCTAGCAGCCCCTCTTGGGTGCCCACCACGTCCCTGGGGCAGGCTGATGGGTCCTGGGTGACGGGGCTGGCCAGCTGCTGGGTGCTCGCTGGTGTTTGCTTAATGCACAGCT